TGCAGAATCTAATTACTTAGAATGAATGCTAAAAACCTAAAATAATTTATAGAAATAAACATAAAGAATGGATGAAATCTGAGCTGAGCAGAACCGTAATCCCATTCCCACCATGCCCGTAAGACACTACTCACCATTCCATTTTTTAAAACATATATTTCTTCTAAGATGTCTTCTTCAGCTCATCCATGGAAGGACCATACAGATTTTCTAAAATATGTGTCTCTGACCCATCTCCCTGGCTAATAGCAAGAATCTTCAACTTCCAGGGAAATTTAGTCTCTACTCACTTCTGCTAGGATATATAGGTTAGCCTTTTCCTGACCCAAAATTAGTCTTCTTAGCCTGTCAGGGGGAGATTACGTATTGGTACATTTAAACTTAGCTTTCTGCTTAAAAACACTGTTGCAGCTTATTTTTGGTGTTCAAAATGTTTTTCTTCTTAGTACTAAGCTTGCCTTAATCGCTCTTGAAAGGGCCATTGAACAAGAGCATAGTTTTTAAAGAGTGATGTTGTTCAACATTTAAAATAAACTATTAGGACAGATACATTTTTGAGTAGCAATTTATGCTTTAATAAAACATTGTGATATTGAAGTTCTGAATAAACTGTAAATAATGGAACCATCTACCTAGGGGATGATGAAAATATAAAAGTATATCAAGGTTTGGTAGCTTTTGGATCAATAGATAATCTTTCTACCTGTCTCCTGGAGGCTCAAACGCTCGATTAATGGCACCGAGGAAGTCTTGGACATACAACATGTAGTTTGTTAGGGGATTGAGTTTTCCTGGGTATTTTGGCTTATATCTCAAGCAGCAGAGAAGACAGAGGAATGTGTGAAAACAGTGGTTCAAATTTTTTTTTCCCTAGTTTTAATCTAGTAGTTGTAGTGTTGGTAAATTGAAACACTAACTTTCTAAATTATACAATTTAAAGCAGAAGGACAATAGTTCTCTTTAACATTTCCCATCTAGCAGATGCTGAAATATCTAACCATCCTTAAGTGCTTTTTGTTATTATATTCTTTCTCCTCTTAACTAAATCAAGTTGAAGTTCCCTGTCTAACCAAGTGCTTACCTTAGTATTATGCAGTTTTAACTGTGAAGCTTTTCAGACCTTGCTTAATATAAGGAAGGCAACTATTCTCTATTTGTTTTATTCTTTAAGTAATATTGTTGACAGTGGTTGCGACTGTAGGTGTTTGGAGTAATAGAACAATACCTAGATTTCTTCCACTAAATGGACATGAATGTGTTGAAAAACTACTCAACTTCTCATGCCAGGTAGCAAATCAGGCTTAAAAAAGCTTGAAAACTATATTCAGGGAGCTGGATCTTATGTTGCATGATCCAGGAAGGGAGATGGCAGCCCTGGGGTAGAAATGCAGCAGAAGAACGATTCCTGCCTTGGGGAATTCCTCAGACAGCACAGCCCCTGGTTGAGATCCTGTGGAAATTAGCTCATCATGATCAGCAAAGAATAAATCAAACAGACAAGGAAAAGTTCTAAGGAAATTAGGATGGGTGTTACACAGATTTAGGGAATAATTTGAAAATATCTTGGGTAAAACCATTATGCAAATGCTGTTAATGGTCACTAGGCATCAAAGACCTGATGAATGTATTAATATATGTCGGAAAGATCTCCTTAGTGCAGCAGGAACATATGTAATTCTAACCACAGAAACTCTGGATACTAATATTTGGCATTCAAGGAATTCCGTGCATTCCTCCTCCTTCTCCTTTTAAACCAATGCCAGAAGCAATTTTTCCTTGCTTTTTATCCTATCCCCAAAGTATCTCTCCTCCCTTCGCAGAAAAAGATTAACAGAGAAATGCTTTAAGGCTCAATACCAAGCTGTATGTTTGTGTTTTTTTTCAGAAACACAGGAAACCACTAAAATCCTTTTTATCCCTTCTAGGAATGAAGGCCAAAAAATTATCACAGAGCAACATTAATATAAGAGTATTTAAGGACTTAAATAAATAAACTTTAATAAACTTTTATTTTCAACACAGAGCAGATGGTGTTTGGCAAACCTGCCTGAAGCTATGTAACATCACATGCCATGCTATTTATTTTTCAACAATATGATTTACTAAACAAATTTCTCCTTCATTGAAATCATAGAGTGAAGAAAGGGTCTTGTATCCAAAGATTGATAAATTGAAAGGCAGTAGCTTAACAGGTGAAAATCCTGGATAAGTGAAAATTATGCAGAACATAGGAAGTGTCTCTATGACCTCATCCATATTCCTATGTGTTAATAAAATATTGCCATTGAAAGAGCTCAGCTGGATCTCTGTCCACATGGTCTGGTAGCCACGGACTGGTTCAGGCCATTGAGGGGCTCAGAGGATGTGAGGGCACGATTTAGGCAATTGCAGAAAGCAGGGACTTTTTCAGTAAACAAGAGAGTTGAGGCTTGTCTGTATTTTGCAGGGAGAAGGAGCTGGCCAGATGGATGTTGCCAGTTTGTGTTGTGTGGCCTAAGGGTCACAGAAGGGTTCCCAGTTGTCTTGTGTTTCACAATAGGTTGTACCTTAAGGGCCACTCTTTATGTAATGCAGAACTAAACTAAAAAAGTTACAGGGTAAATTTGAGGAGAGGATTAGGAGAGGTGCTAGTTGTAAGCTACCATGGGCCTACTCTCAGTGATAGTTTGTTCCTATGAGCAATACAACACACTCCACTTGGAACCTAAATTGCAAATTTTCAAGTCAACCTCAAAATTTCTGCTTTATTTTTTCTCCAATGACTGTTTAGGGAATGTCAGCAGCCTTTGATCCTCAACAATGTAGTTAATCAGATAGCTAATTCCTTCAGTGCTATTGAGTCCTGTAGCTGACTACCCTGGAAGAAGTCTCAAGTTCCTATTCAGGACAATTTTCTCACCCCGTCAATGTCCTAGATCTTGCATGTTGGTGGTGGTCAGAAGATACATCTGCCCTGCATGAGATCAGTGAAGAAGAGCTATTCATTAATAGTTGTTTTGTTTCAGAGCTGTAAAACACCATCCCAGTGTAGCCTTTAAGTGCAGCAGTGTTTGCTTTTTTGGTTATTCACATTATATCAATATTTACTGCAATTTACAGTGTTTAGCAAAATATTCCTTTAATGAAAAATGAAAAAGGTTGTCTTTGCCCCAGCAAAAAAATGTCTTACAATACTTTGTGTGGTTATTTGTCTTTTTGAATCAATGGATTAAAGCTTAAACAATGAGAAGAAAGTGGAGAATTTAAACAGAAATTACTGAAACTTAATTATTTGACTGGTGAAAATAAAACATCCCAGAACACTAATGTCACCAGGGATGTGTAGTTCATCTAGTACACAGCACACAGCTGGAGTAATTGAAAATTTTCCTAGAATATAGCTTTGTAGTCTAATGAACTAGGAAACTGGCTGAGGGTAGCTCATCTGACAGTCCTTCTTGTACCATTTTAACAGTTAGAAGAGTCTTCCTATATCAAACTTCTCTACCTCATTTTTGTTGTGAGATTTCAACTTGAAGAACTATAGATTATTTGGACATATGACAACTGCTGGCTTGGACAAAATTCCAGGGACTGAATTCAGGACATCTAAAACTAGAAACTTGTGCTGACGTTGCTTAGGCTAAAGAGCTGTATGTAGTTCTTTAGCTGGGGACCAGAAGAACTCAGTCAAAGGATGAACAGAAGAAAAGTGAGATAAAAATATCAGTGGATTACGCAGATGCCTCCTCTTGTATCATAGCAAATGATTTCTCTCTCTATTTTCTGGTGTCAATTTGTATTATTAACTGCAGAATTTGTAATGGGTTCTTCTTAAACGCTTAGGAGTTAAATGTATGTTTTATATTGAATTCTGGTGGCACTTGACTTTTCATGGTTGAATTTCTAAGTAAATATAAAAAAATAGGATGGGTTTTGCAGATATCTAAATTATCATAAATGCATTGGCCTGATATCATAATAACAATGACAATAATAGAAAGCAGGCGTTCCCTCAAATGAATGCTTCAAGCAGAGGACTGGAACACAGGCCACTTGCCAATGGAGAGCTGGAAGCACTGCTGTTCATTTGAGAGATCATTATGGAAAGGTTTAATCCCCATCCCACCCCAAAAGTGACTTCTCACTAGTTCCCAGAAACGTAGGCTATTAGGCTCAACTGGAAATAGAAAATCGCTCTTAATCATATGCAAGTTCTAAATAGGAGTATTTGAAAACAGCACTGGGGAGGAAAGAGTACTGCCAGGGAATGGGGGATCATTTTGATTGTTGATGAAAAGCTATCAAACAGAGTTCAACGTGGTAAGAGATGTGACAAATCTTTAGAGAAGGAGTTTTCTCTTCAGAGAAAGGTAATGTAGCTGACAAAGTCACTTCGTGCTTTTTGTGCCATTGAACCTAAAAAAGAAAATAAATTCATATCTTTTCTTTTGTCATTCGTTACAAGCCACAAAAAGCTTGTTGGCCCCTTTTTTAATCATTGTGAGGATTTTTGCTTTGAGACTTCCTGCAGGAAAGTGTTTTAAGTGGAAGTCTTCTTTATAGTGCATCTAATGTCTGCCAATATGATTCCTGTTACAGGCATAGGGACCATTTTCCTTCTGTCCTCAAGCTGTGTTGCTGCTTATTATCGTGTTTAACACTCCCAGTGCCTGGCAGGATGGAGATTAGAAACTCTTAATATTCATTTTATAGTGAAAGGTCTTGCCAGATTTTTGGAGCATAGGCTGTAATATATGCACATAATTTATTGGTGGAAAAGTTCTGAACTCTCTTGTGAGTCACCTTAATCTTCCTTCTTATCATTTTAGGATTGTTTTAAAATAATCTGCTATACCCCCCCGCACGCAAACATGTTAAAAGCCTTACATTGGAAATAACAACTTGATGGAAGCAAACAGAGTTGCATAGATTTACTTTGATAAATCTGTACAATTTTTTGTGAAAGTGTGTATTTTCTGAAGTGTTAATCTCTAACTCAAAAATTTCATTTTTAACAGACTGGAAGGAAGGAGAAAGGGGACCCACTAAACATTGCTATTGACAAGATGACCAAGAAAACACGAGACCTTCGAAGACAGGTAATCTATACTTTTTATACTGCTTATTTTATATTTCCACTTTATACTTATATTGCTTATATTTACATTTTATTTTATACTTCTTCTGTTCTTCCAAGGATGTAATGGCTTTTCCACTTCCAACTGGTTTTGCCAGTCTGTAGAGGTATAAAGAATTTGTGTCCTTATTTAGATATGGCACTAGATTACACTTGACTTTAAGCAAAGGCCCAGATTTTCCTGAGCCAACAAGAAAGGGAGACTGAACATGTTCCTGTTGTTAACCCCCAATGGTCTTAATATGTGGGAGGTTAGGAAGATTGGCCAGACCTTCCCTGCCTTTGCAGCCCAGCAAACCCAGTCATAAAAACATGGCCATATGTGCTTATTTGTACTTATTTGAACACTCTCATTGAAATAACAGGAATGATGGGCAGAATGTGAACAGGTTTGTATGAGCAGAATATTTTCAAAGAAAACTTACAAGATAAAGTATTAAATATAAATCCTATGAAGATATGGAGAAAGCTAGTAAATGCCAGGTCACCCAGAGAGATGGTCAATGCCCCATCATGGAAACATTCCAGGTCAGATTGGACAGAGCTCTAAGAAACCTGATCTAGTTGAAGATGTCCCTGCTCACAGCAGGGAGGGTGGACTAGATGACCTTTAAAGGTCTCTTCCAACTCAAATTACTCTATGATTCTACAAATACCTGTAAAGCATTGTCTAAACCATAAAGGCTGGCTATCTTATCTTCTTTTTATCCTTATGTTTGGTAATAAGGCTGAAAGATTTATTCAAAAAGCTTGAGCTGGAAAAGAATAGCAAGGAGATTGGCAAACAAAAGGGAGAAACTCTATAGGTTTCTCTTTACAGTCAAGGCAAGTGGGGTTGCCTCTTTTTACCTCTTTGTTTTTTCTCCTTTTGAAATGATCTCAATTCTGCATTTTCTGTAAAAATAATAACAATAAAAAAAGGCTGCTTGGCCAAACATAAGTTGTCTCTCTGAAAATGATCCAAAATCCACATATCTGCATGACTAAGTAAAGACTTACTGTATCTTCAGACACCTATTTGCAACACAAGAGCTTCAGAAAGAGTGGCCTCTATAGGCATCCTGAAATCAGTGCTCTGCACTGCTAAAACTCAGCTCATTAAATCTTTTCCTTAACTCACAGCAAACGTGTTTGAGGGTAATAGTCTCAGTGCTTATTTCTCCAAATAATAAAAAAATTTCAATGGACTTGGAGACAACATGAATCATTGGCTCTCCTGTATAAAGCCTAGCATCACATCTGTTTCTCAGCTTATCACAGGAGAAAGATCTCCACTGTTCTGACCTCCAAATTCATGGGATCCTAGGTTCTGCAGTGGAGCTACAGCATGTGTTGCCTCCCACCTCTGTTCTTATTGCTTGAAGGAAGCAGCAGACTAACATGAGTTGCTGTTCTGTGTGAAGCTCTCAGCAGTTGCCCGAATTACTCATCTCTAAAGCCAAATTTACTCCTAAACGTGATATAAAAATGGCAGTTTTTTTAATAAACTGTCTGCTTTTCGTGTATATACAGCCCTATGGGTGTTGAATTCTATCTCAGAAAGGTTAGAGCTCTGTATGTGGGTAAAGTGAAGCACACATATAAATATTTTCCTGCTTGGAAATAAAGCTTTTAATATAGTTTCTGATATTTACAAAGTTAATCACATAGGTATAATGTTTATTCAATTTTGGTATTTAAGAGTAAACTAATCAAAATTAGGTCATAATTGTGCTAGCTTTTGCACAAGCACAGAGGGAGATGGAGTCTCTGCTTTCAACAATATGTACTCTGAGTATAAATCATTATGCTTTAGAAGCATAATCAATTTTCTTCTTTATCACATCTAATCAACAGTATATATGTGTGTGTCTACCCAGACCTGTCTATACACCCCTAGCTGAAGTTCAGAAAATGAGGAGATGTCTCTGAGGGCTTCGTTTGAGGCTTTAAGAAATGAGCCACAGCTGAGAGTGCAGTGTCTTAGTGTTTCAGTGTTTCTGTTTTGGGCTAAATCATGGGAAGAGACAACCGCCTTTGAATACCATAATGTCTCTTGTTTTTAATGAATCAGAACCTTTTGAAGCAGCCTTCTTTGTCAGAGTTATGAAGTTTCATGTTACCACCATAACACTGGTCAATTTACAAAATATATTTGGGTAATGAAGAAGGTACATATATTTCATTTGCTAGTCAGGCTTTCTTGCAAGGCTTCAGTAGTCAACCATGTAAGACTGATTTTTCTTTCTCTCCTCAGGTTACCATGCTCTTTATTTCTGAGATTTTATTTGATTATCTAAAGAACATGCAGACATGTGGAATTATTGTGGTTGAGCTACAGGGGACTAAATTTCCAACTCACAATTTGCAGTCACGTCAATACTTCCTGTTCTGATGGAATTACATCTTTTATACTCAGCATTTAAACTCTCCTGGGCATTAGAAAACAATTATGGAAATCTAATCGTAAGTCTTAATATAAACTGCCAGTAAGAACATCAACCCATGTCAGACAGAACGAGTTCTTGGAAGCAGACAAGTCTCCCCAGCTCATAGCTTACTGCTGCCATTTCTTACTTTACTTGGAACAATTTGGAAAAAGCACAGAGTTCTGTGTCTGATAACAAGTTGTGCCAGTTGGCAGGATTTGGGGTCCTTTTCCCCTGGTATGCAAGACAACAACAACAAAACAAAACAAGAACACAACAAACAACAAACCACACACACACACAAGAAAAAAGCTAAACAAAACCTTTTTCTCTGGGTGGTACAGTGAGCTAGACCAGCAGCAGGGTGCTTGTTGATGCCAGTTATTTTGCCTCTGTTTTACCTCCCTAGAGATAAAAAAACTCCTTAAGTTTGGCTACCCCAGCTAATGATCAAGCAGCACGCACAGACGGCGTTTCAAGGGTTGCAGCTCTGCTGTGACATTGAAACAAAGATAAGCAGGAAGGACACACCAAACAGTTTGGCTAACACAGAAGCTGATGCCTAGCGAGGCCCAACACGGTCTATAGATCATCTGGAGTTGCATGAGCAAGGCACCAGCTGTTCTGCTGTCACCACCACTGGTGTCCCACCTGTCAGTGCCGCTGCCTTCTGTCCTGCTGCCATCGGCACTTTGCCTTGTGTCCTGTTCCAGTTGAGCAGTTGAGCTTGTTCAGGCTTTATTAGCCACTCATTTTTCCCACAAGGAATAATAGCCAAAGCCATTAGTTTTCTCTTAAAAAGCAGATATCTGTGCTGCTATTAATTTTAACAGAGCAGCCTGTCAGCAGTATCCTCTACAGTGGATTGAAATCAAATAAGTCCATTTTTGTCTATTCAAGCCAGACTAATACTTCAGATGCCTCCAATTGGAAGGAACTCTAAAGAAATGGGAAGATATTTTATCACTGATCCTCAGTTTATACTGGAAACCATGCCCTCATACCTAGGTTGCCCAGGGAGATTGTGGAAACCCCATCCCTGGAAGTGCCAGGTTGGATGGGGCTCTGAGCAACCTGGGTTGGTGGGAGGTGTCCCTGCCCATGCAGGGGGGTTGGAACCTGATGATCTTTAAGCTCCCTTCCAACTTTCACTATTCCATGATTCCATAATTCTATGATACAACTGTTAAGAACTATTCTTCCACCTCCTGCAGAACTAGGTTTATGTCATTACTACAGCTGGTTAGAACTACTTCAGGAAAGAAATGCTCAACAGAAAATTATCACTTTCTTGAAAATAAAATAAAAAAAATCAGAAATTTTCTAGAAATACAGTTTTCCAAAATAAATAAACAAAGCCTGACAATTGAAGTCACATTTGGATTTTTTCAGTAGTTTCAGATTTTCATTTTTAAAGCTAGCAGGTTGGGCTTTTTTTAGCTTATCATTGCAAATGTAAATATATATGTATCAATAAATGTTGAAAATCAAAAACATTTTTCAGAATTGTTAAAGTTTTCAATTGCTTTAAGGCATTTTGATAGTTTTGGATTTTTCAGGTTTTCTTCCGAAGTAAAATAAACCAAAAAATTCTAAAGTACCTTAGTTTTCTTAAAGTTGGATTTCTGGTTGTCCCTGCAGCTTTAGGCAACAGAAGCTTATTATAAACAATATTTATTTTAAAAAATATAAAATATATTGGAAGGAATTGTGAAGTTGAAAGTCCAGAAATAACTCCATTCCCTGCTGCATTTCAGTGAAAGTATTTTGTGCTATGAATGTTTAGACTGAGGTGCTGGGATTTTGTTTTGAATGGATGTCTGATAAAAAGTTAATGTTATCGCTAGATATCTCTCTCTGTGTGTGCAGTACCTAAAGGTACTTTTTGCCATCTGATTACTATTTAGTGACCTGAGGCTGTGATTTTGAGTGCAGTCCAGTTCAACCTTTTGGGAAGGTAACAAGAAACCCCCCACTAAATAACATCAACATCCTATTATATAAGAGATTTCCCTCCATAAGGCTCTAATTCAAGTCACCATTCCCCTACCCAGACATTTTTTCATCTCACTTCAGCCACTGAGCATCCTCAAGGCCTTTTATGTCTCTCAGGTGCTTTTTCATTGGCCAACAGGTTAAAATGTGTTTGAAGAAACGGGCATAATTACTGTGATGAGCCTCATTTCCTCAGAAAACCAGTCTAGAACCAAAAAAGCTTTTATGGCCAAGACTGTGGTCCTGTTCTGGTTGACTGTTATCTGCAACAGTCCAAATTTTCCAAGGTATATTTAGTTGTAGGACCCCCTACTGTTCTACTTTGCTAGTAATATTATTATAATATCATGGTGTTATCCATAATAAGCCCTTCGGTGACCTGTACCTTGTTTTATCATATGATTTTTCAAGAAGGGTTTTCATGTGTGGCTGTGGTCCTCTACAGTTACCTGAGAGGAGGTTGTGGTGAGGTGGGTCTTGGCCTCCTCTCCATAGTGACCAGTAATAGGACAAGAGGAGATGGGGTCAAGTTGTGCCAGGGGAGGTTCAGATTGGATAC